GGGACAGATGCAGAGAGGGGGAGAGAGAGGGAGGGAGAGAAAGAGAGAGGAGAGTCAGAAACTTTTCAGTCAACCCCCCCCCCCCCGCGTAAAAGCGCATGCAGCAAAATCGTTGACGCGTGTCCTGACGGATCAGAAGCCATCCTTGGTTTAATTTGACGCCTGCCTCATGGAGGCCCTTCTTCCCAAAGTTGGCGGGGGAGTTTCGCGTGATGGTGGGGATGATCAGGATGAGGTGCACTTGGCACGCGCCGTCAAGACAAGTTTGCGTTTTTGCAACAGGCTCCCAAAGCCTGCGGCGCTCGGATGGGTGTGACAGAGGCAACGGAAAGCCGTCAAACAGATAGTGCGCTGATGTTAACTGTAAACAATTGAAGCTCGTAGTGTTTGTTTAACAGCTCGGTCCAACTCCAACCCCAAAACTCATCTTGGCCTTGCACGCGCAACGCAACGCTCATGAGTAGTGAGCAGTGCGGCGGCATTACTTTGTCGCCGCACAAATCAACTCATCACTACGCAGTTGCACCATCACTGAAAAAGTAAAGGATACAATAATAAAGAGTCTAGGGAAAACTGGAAACCAGCTTGACCGCAAGCCCCAAACCGAGAAAGGTACAAAAAGGACATGTTAGCCACGCGCAAAACCCCTTGCTTGTGCCAAAGCAAAAATAATAATATGCCAAAAGTTGCCAAAGCAAAGCGCAAGTCATGGTGCCAGAATCAGTACCACTGACACATCTTCAACACCAGCGCCAGCCAGCAAGCAGGTCGCCATCATCGCATCACATCACCGCCATCAACCATACAAGCCCTTCGTCTACACTCAAACCAGGCTACGCAACAGGAACACGGGAGGTCGCGTGCGGGGCTTTGGAAGTTCACATGAATCACCACTGTCACCCCCAACCCGATTCTCATCATTCATCAAACCACCATGACACATGACCCATCATGAGTCTGACTCCACCAAGAAAAGGGCCCGGTCCATGCCACCCCCAAAAAATGAATGCCAAACAAAACAATCATTGATCATCCATCGGAACCGGACCCATCATCACCTCCATTCATCACTATCTTCACTGTCATCGCGTCATCACGGCCATCATGGCCCGGCCAAGAGAAAGAGTCAAAATCAACGCCCCCCTCGCGGATGCCAAAGAGAACCATCATCATAGATCGCCCGGACCCATCATCATCACTGTCACCGTTGCGTCAGTCCAAAATAACCCTCCCCCCGACTCACCCCCTCCCCTGCCACAGAAAAACCGTTATGAATCATTCATGGGAACCGGACCCATCGATATCATCATGTTCATCATCATCATCATCTTCTTCACACCATCATCGCATCATCGTGACAGCATGGTTCCTCACCATTGCAACCGAATCTTCATCCGCATCATCGTCGCACCCTCACTTTCTTTCAGCGTCATCGTCTCCATCATCGTCATCATCGCCGCCAACACCATCGTCAGAATCGCGCGTGTGACCATTCAAGCCGCTGTCTATGGGGATTCCCGACCAACTGCCATGAATCATCCACCAGTTATCAGTCAGTCTGTCTATCATGCCCGTCAGCACCCTTTTGCAAGCCGAGTCTCAGTCTAACCCTCACAGTTTTGCCAGAGTGCGCGTTTACATTTTGCTGCGCGCCGAACGCTTACCCGCCTTCGGACTTTAACCCGCTTTCGAACAACCCTCCTCCCTGCCATGGCAGTCAGGAGTCAGACAGGCTACATGACAACTCAACAAAAACACAACCCTGGACCCTGAGTTACTGGCCACGACAAGCTGCTGGTGAGAGCCTAAAACGAAAAAACGAAGTGTGTTTGCGCAAGACAAGTGCGGACAATGTGGCCCAGTGCTGCAAGAGCTGTAACAACACTGTTGTTTGCTAAGTGTTTTCGCGTGTCTTGTCTTGTTGCAGCCAACGCCAAATGAAAGTAATCTGGAAACGTGAAATTTTCATTTGCTTGTCTCTGTCTGCCTGTCTGAGACCACTGGCAAAGGTTGTGACAAAAGCAAGCTGCCACAAACGGACACCAGATGTCGCACTTTCATGCCCCCACCAATGCATCCGCTGAAGTTGGGCACTTGCTTAGCTTGACTCAAGGTACCTATGTGCCAGCAATTCATCATCAAACGCCAGCATGTGCAATGCAACCTAGGCGCAGGCTTGCAGGGTTTTTGTTGGGAGAAAGACGCCACCAGCTTCTACGTTTGTGTTTCTTGGTGTAGATAACTCCTGGGCAATTATAAATAGTTTATGGGCGATATAGAATACTCTCTGGGCAGTTGTAAATAGTCCCTGGGCAGTTAAAAATAGTTCCTGGACACATGGGCTTGTCTACAGACAAACAGGCCCATGCACCTGCCAAAGCCGGTGCTTTTTGCCACGGCGGGGCACACGTGTCTGGCCCTGGTGGCCCCAAGTCCGTAACCCGCAGCTGCGATAGTAGCGGCCGCGCCATAGCACGAGCAAAAACTAATGACTGCCCCGAAATGTGAACCTCAGGCGGCGGTCGGGGGCGGGCGCCTGGAAGGCTCGAAGCGCATACAAGACTGACGAGTGCTGCAATGAGATTGGCTGGCTCCGTCGTGAAGGAACCAGCGTACATCGACACGTGCCCAAGCACACCGAAACAAGCTAAAAAAAAACAAGCTAAGGCAAGCTGAGGCCGCAGCCAAATGTGGGCAGAGATCTGTTCTTCTGCAACCTCGCGCGCTCGCGGGTTCGATTCCTCCCTGGTTCGCCGCAGCTCCGGCTCAAGCAATGAAGCCGTAGTACGTGGAGTGTACTCCTGCTGGCGGCCCCTACCGGAAAATCACAAGCCTGAAGCGCAGACGTACAGTGCACGAAGCACCTCCACAGCAAAGCTCAGGCTGAGCATCTTGCGCACAGATACAAGCGCCGAGCGTCTTGCGGAGAGAAACTTGCACAGAGCAACGTGCACAGAACAGCTTGAAGACAGATGTCGAGCCACTTGCGTGCAGCAGCTTGCAGAGCTCTCAGAGAGCAACTTGCGCGCAGCAGCCTGGAACAATGCAGCTTGCGCAGACACTGCCATGTTTCCTCTCGTAGGACGATGAGATGGAGCTTTCATGTGACCATACACATTGAGCATCGCCGCGCAGGCACGATCGCCGCATCGATGTAAAAAGGTGTCTCCGCGGCTGGAAGAGCGCTTGGGGAATAATTCTTCCGGGCCAATCGTGCTTTAGTTTGTTTCTTTAAGATGCTGCAACCCAAGAGACCAGACACGAAGAACCGTCCAAGACCAAGGCTCCAAATATCCGGAGTGCTGGACCGAACGACAGAGTTGGATTTGCAGCAGAAGAGCTTTGGAAAGACATGGTAATGTTTTGTTTCTATTTCGCTACTGCGGAATGTGCTTGAACGCCCACAAACAGTTGCACAAACAAGGCAGCGATGGGACGAGTTGGATTCACAGCATTTACCGAGCTGCATTTTGTTACCGTGCATGACAAAGCTAGCAGCCGCTTGGAAGCTACGAGAAGAGCTTGCAAGGTTGCAAGCGGCCGAGTTGCGGAACCGATTGCAGCAGTTGGACTCACAGCAGAAGAAGCTTTGAGTGGACCTCTAGTAAGTTTTGTTGTGCTTTGAGGGTTTGGAAGAGAATGAGCTTTACATGTTTCTGCTACCTGGCCTTGCATGAAATGAGAGCCGCTCGGAAGCTCCACAAACACACGTTTGCAAGCATTCGAAGTGATCAAACGATCTCACGAGTTGGATAGCAAAGAAACTTTGGACAACTTCCAGGCATTTCAACGCTTGTGGTTGAGAACAGCAGATCGATCTGAAGCTTTGTGAAGTTGTGACACTGTTGCCACTGTGCAGATTTCTGGGGAAAACATCGCGTGTTTTGCATGTTCCACTTGATAGGAACCTGTACCATCTTTGCCTTCGTGCTTTACGGAATTTGATGGTTTGGTGAAGGAGTTGTTGGATAAAATTGAAGCGCGAGACCGAAATTGATTCTTGTGACAAGGCACCAATGGACTTCGTGCCTTTCGGACCATCTAGAAACCTGCAGGTCATGATGCTGCATGAACTTCTCAGGTCACAAAACAAAATTCAGTGACGAACTCCTGCAGCACTTGGGACGGATCCCTATAAACACCGGAACTGATGCAGGATTTTGTCGTCCAGAAAGGCACTCGACAATTTCTACTAGATCCAACTGTTTCATCGGCTTTTGATGTGAAACAGCCTGTTCTTGTTGGGGGACTGATTAATTCTGGATTACTTTGATGTATTTGCTCCCTTTGATGAAGCGGAGACCCGTGGATCAGTCATTGATCTATTGCGAGCTTTACGTTTGCACTCTCAGATGCTTGCTGGACCAATCCCATTGCAGCGGACATATCATGGAAACCTGGGAACGACACCGTTTTGCAGATAGGTCTTGACTCTTTTCGTCTGATCTGTGACGGGTGTGATTCGAGTCCCTTGATATGCTTGAACGCTTTTGCATGCGCGTGATTCATCTTGGTTTTGGATGGTTTCACCCTGATTCCTCGGTTTTCTTTCGATCATGCCAACACACAAGTAACAACTGGCTCCTTGCCCAGGTCATGATCAACACTTACTAGAAGCTGTACAACTTCTCCCAGTGATGGCAGACATTGGTGCCCTGGACATGCATCAGCCACTTTCCCCACAGCACTTGCCAGCATCCCAGAGGGTTTTGTAGAGGGCCCCAAGATGAGGAAGTCCAATTGGCGAAGTGTCACTGGGTTTCTTCAAATCAGGCCTCGGGTCACCTGCTTATGGGCGTTTGCTCATCAAGATGTGGGAATTGAGTCCGCTTGCAGTCGGCTTACATTTCCCGCCCATGCTGCGAACACCACCGCATAGATGAAAAACGAGCTTGCGCAATCGCACCAACATCTTTTGATTGCTTAGGAAGAGCACCCACTCCCATTTTGCAGGCCACGGGGATTCGTTGCCAGAGGAAAAAGGACAACGGAGGACAGCGGTTTTCTGGCGGCGCCGTGGGTTCGCTTCTTTGCCACGCGCGCTCTCTGCGCCATGGGCGCGGGTCATGGGCGCGGTCTGCTGCGTGAAGGAGCGTTTGGAGCTCGGCGAGCCGCTGCCTTTGGCGCAAGATGACCTGAACGGCGGGCGGAGGGCGGCGGATGTGGTGAGCTTGAAGGACGTCTTCGCGGAGGCGCAGAGAGACGGAAAGCACGGGGGCAAAGGATGGTTGAGGGAAAGTGGGCTGTGGTTTTTTGGCTCAGGGTTCGGGTTTGGGTGCGTGTTGCGCCTGGCGTGTTGGAGAAGAGGGTGTGCAGGGCCAAGTGTTTGAGACGCTACTTTGGTGGGGTGGATTGGGTTGAAGTTTGATTTCAGTGGTAGCAACATGGGCCGCACGGCATGCATAAAACTCCAGGGACTTGAGCTGCCAGCCCCTGCTTTGAGCGCAGAACTGTCAGTGCTTCAGGAGGTGGCTTTTCAGATCGCCAGCGACCGCCGGCAGCAGGCGGAGTCTGCCAGCGGCTGGTGAACATTTGATCAGTCCTTGTAGTTTTTTCATGTCCAATTCGGGCTGCGCGCGGGGGGGGGGGGTTTGCAGATGTGGCCACCAAATTCGGGATATGGCTAAGGTTGGCTCACCGTTTTCTACGAGCTCCGGCCGCCTGCTTCCGACGCGGGCGCTGCTGGCGCCGGCGCTGGCGCGCGCGCGAGTTCGGTCGGGGCCGCGGCCACGGTGGCAGTGCACCGGAAGACAGGGGTGCCCAGGTGTGGACGGAGCGGAGAACGAGTCAGGGAGCAAATGTTTTTGGTTTTTGGGGTGGCTTTCCTTTTTTTTCTTCCCCTCCTTCTTCTGCAAATGCACCAACAAAAGCGGGCTACCACTATCATATGTTCCATGCACAGGTACCATCAACAAAAAAGGATGTCTTCAAGTGGCCCTTGCTTCTGTTGGAAGAGTGGGGATAGATTTCTGAACTGGCCCCATCCTCGGGAACGGGATGAGGAGCTGTGCGGCCTGAATCATGTCCTTGTTGGATTCGTAGCTTTGGTGTCATTTTGCGGCGCATGTGCTGTGTACAAACTTTTGGATGCTTGCGCCTCCAGGAAACCCAGGGCTTTCCTAAGCCAGAGGCTCTCTTCGTTGCTTGTGTTTGGGTCTCAAGGTCTTTGACTTCAAAGAAGGAGCAGCTAAGATTGTAGTTTCTGTTTTGTTTCCCCTTAAGGCACTCCAAACCCTGCGGCCTCGAAAGCAATAACAGGCCCATAGCTCTCGGCTCGCTTCACACTCTTTTTGGTGTATGGAAGGCTAGGGAGCCAAAGAGGTTCGCGCAACTTTAAGGGATCCCTCTGGAATCCAGCAAGTAAACACCTGCAGAGGCTTTGGGAGCACGTTGTGGACTTTTAGCCTTTTTGACAAGGCTTGCACAAAAAAAACAACCAAAAAAAACAGCAATTCTCCGCCCGCTGCGACCACATGGAGCGAGCTCCTGCCCCGCAAGGGCCGTGTCCCATAACGTACTTCCCACTCCTCTGGCACTCGGTCTGGACCTTTCCACTTTCGGAGTCGCGCTGCGTTGAGCGACGCCGGCCAGGCAGCTGTGCAGCTTCCGGAAGCCTTATGCCCCGGCGGCCCAGGAACGTTTGCACTCCTGCATCCTGGCGCTGCAGAGGCGGGGGAGTAGCAAGAGGCAAGGTTGCGTTTCTGTGAAACTGGAAAGCCATGCCGCGCGTGGGTCCCTTTCTTGTTTTTTGGGGACCCCTTTGAGATTCGGGTATGGGTCAACATTAAACCACTAGGGGACCGCAGGTTTTAGTCGTGGGTTCCATCTACCAGGGCAACCCATTTTGGCTACCCAGTTTTGACCCACAGCCAGATTGGCTTACCGGTGGAGGCCGCCATTTGGAATGTTTTCACGTGTGCCATCACGTTGACCGTAGCCTCCCGTCCTGGAGGCTCAGCGAGAGCCGGGTGGCCAAGGTTTTGGAGGTCTTTGAGGATTACATGAACATCCACACCATCCAGGACAGCGTGCCTTCTGTTTTGGGGTTGCTTCTTTCCGTCTTGAAAGAAGCCCGAACCAAACCCCCTCCCTCCCCCACAGCAGGCAGGATTCCGCTTGCATGTGCCTTTTTAATTGGGGGGATCTCGGAGTGTCCCGCCCTTCCGCCCGGGAAAGGGCGAGCGTGGGAGAGGTTTAAAGGGGGTTTGGAGGGGGGGGGGGGGTCTGGAGGGGGGCGGGGGGTCTAGGAGGGGAGGGGGTTGTGGAGGGGCAACGTCGCGCGAGGAGCTGTGCACTGGGGGCTCCATCTACGAGCGGATCTTGGAGCGGCAGTACTTCACGGAGCAGGAGGCCGCGGTGCTGGTGAAGCACATGCTGCAGGCGAAGGGTGTTTTTTTTTTTTGGGGGTTGGAACCAGGGAAGGCTGGTTCAGCCACAAATGGTTTGTGATGTTTTGGATGTTCTCTTCAGATCGTTTCCAGTCTGAGCACTGCAAATTCGAGGATTTCCTCGCAGTGTTGGGGGGGGGGGGGTGAGGGTCGATGTTTTGCTTGCTTCTTCTAGCATTTGACTAATTTGACTCTGTCTCATCTGGCGGGGCCCCGTGATGTGAGATGTGGGGCTTCAGACTTGAGGTTGCCATGATGTTTGTAGTTGCTGTGCTAGTTGGCAGGGTCACAGACAATTTCTTGTCCGCGCAATGTGTGATTATTTGAGAATTTGCACCTCGGAAAAGGGCGAGTCCCTATTTTGATACGTGCCCTGAAAAAGCCACTGGTTGAAGCACAGGGCCAATCTTGGGTGTCAAAAACAGCGCCTTATCTTCTTGTCGCCAAACAAGCGCGCGCCAAGGCCGTTGAGTTCTAATCCCCCTTCAATTGGAAACCCGAAAAGGAGGTCGTCTACGCAGTGGTTGACCACAGATTTTCCTTTTGGATCTCTGCCGTTTGCGGGGCTGAGTCGCCCGACTCGCCGTCAGGCGCTGCTGCCTTTGCACGAGAACCAGCTCTTCCACGGCAGTTTGAGCCCCGAGAGCTTCCGGTTCCTCAACGGCTCCCCCCACGCGCCCTTGAAGCTGGTGGACTTTGGGCTGGAGCTCAAGGCTGGGGAGGGAGGGAGGGGAGGGGAGGGGAAAAGAGGGGAGGGGAGGGGAGGGGAGGGGAGGGGAGGGGAAAAGAGGGGAGGGGAGGGGATGGGAAAAGAGGGGAGGAGAGGGGGAAAAATAGGGAAAAGGGGGGCTGTTGATGGTCCCCTGTTCTGGTTTTTATGTTAATCTCAAATCTGTGCTCCCCGTTATTCGTTTTGAGAAGGGTGTTTTTAGGGAACTTATTTATCGTTTTCGTTAAGGTAATCATTTGGGTAAATTCTCGCCTTGTTCATTGTTGGGCTGGGGGCCGACATTTTTTTCATTTGAAAGAGTTGGCCCTTTTAGTAGTTATCAAGTTCTGGGGTGTTGGTGGTGTATTTGTTTTGATATATGTTTTGTCGTTGAAATTTTGTTATAGGTTATAATGAAAGGTTATAAAAGTTTACACTGTTTAATCATATTATAATTAAAAATTATGATTAAGCCATGAATTCATTGTTTCTGTTATGTCTAAATTTCAAATGTAATATGTTCTATAGTAATGATTTCGTTTCGTTTCATAGTCTGTTGTATTTCTTCAACTATTTGTTCAATATAAAATTGTAATGGCGCTCTACTTGTTATCTTGTTCTGTTTGCTTGATGCATAAGAACTACAGTTGCAAATATTATTATTATACATAATTTTCGAACTAACTTCTATTCCAACCTTTATTTCTTCATCATACTTCATCATTCTTAATGTTAAAACCCTCTAGGCCCCGTGCCGAAATTGGGTAGCAGTTCTGAGGTCCTTGTTGGTGTTGCTTCCCAAGTTCCATTGATCGCCATTTGGCTCAAGACACAATTGAGGTTCAAGATCTGATGTGTGACTGTATACATACGTGATCGGCATTGAGAGCGGAAAACACTTCGCTTGCGCTGCATTTGTCAGGACCACTGTTGTAACTATCATTCCTTCTCCCTTACAACGTTTACACGGGTTCGGCTATAACGGCATCGTCCGTATACACCTTTCTACGTGGTTGGTATTACAGCTTGAGGGTTCGGTGCATAGCGTCCCACGGGACGTCACCTTGCCGTCTCTTGACAGGTTATCAGCCGTAACTACAAGCTCTACACTGGACTGGGAGACAGCTGGTTTATTGCGGGTACAGGGACAATAAAGGAACGATAACCTACACAGTACAATGGCGTCTTCGGCGAGCCCAAGTACTGCAACTTTTGGGAACAGCAGCTCAGAGGGATCCAATGGATTGATGGCTCTTCCTGCGGTGATGGATATGATTGCAGATTCACAGGATGAACCTGGGAGCGGAGGTTCCGCGCTATTCAGCGACATATCTACTCCCACAAGATCATGGAAGCAGATCGATATTCGTCAGGAATCGAAGCAAAGGGAATCCCCACCGAGAAGATCATCATCTTCGCCTGCGACACCACGGACGTCGCAGAAGGGCGTGAGATCGACGTCGAAGGGTGGGAGGTCAAAATCACCCACCAGTGCGGAGTTTCGCGCCGCGATCAAAGAGAAGAATAAGATGGAGGTGGAGATCGGGGAATATCAAAAGACACTTGATGAAATGTCGGCAGCTATGGCGAATCTTCATCAGGAAGATTATGGAAGCACCATCCGGATCCAGGAGCTGGAGAGAAGATGCGAGATTGCTAGTAAGCAGTCGGGACATCTAGTGAGTCACCACCAACACCACATGGCTGAGGCATGGCGCAAGTTTGAGGAGGAAGCCCAACAGATGCGCAAGGTGGAAATGAACGCATTTCAGTACGGGGAGAAGAAAGACATGGAGTCGAATATTATAATGCAACAGATGAGACAAGCTGAAGGAACTATCATGGAGCAGAAGCGGGAGATTGCATTGATGAAATCCTACATGGCAAGCGAGAAGTCGGCCGCGCAGGAATCAGCTATACGTGCAAATCAGATACACCGTGAGGCTTCACAACAGATATCAGTTTATCAGCAACAGATCAGAGGCATAGAATCTTCTACATCTATCGAGAAGTTCAACGAGGAGGAGATGGTCCAAAGTCTGAAATCACAGTTGGAGCATGCACTCGTCAAGCGCCCCGAGACGTACTCTTTGGAGGACTCCAGGGAACAGCTGATGGCGAGGCTGAATGACGTTACAGTATTTGCGGAACAGGAATCGAAGAGAGCAGATTGCTTGCTTCGCGAGAAGGAAGAGATCGTCAAACAGTATGAGTCCGACGTGTCGATGAAGGACCAGATGATTGCTGTCGAAGGTGGTCATCGTCAAGATGCGATCTTGGAGTTAGCCCAGGTCAAAGAAGAAAAACAAGAAGAACGGTGCACAATGGACGAGAAGTCGAAGGAGGCTGAGTACTGGAGATTGACAGCTAAAGGAATGTACGATGAGTACCTCGAAGAGATGCATGAGCTTCAGGGACAACTGAAGGAGAGGGAGGCGACGCTCAAGCAAGAAGAGAGTTTTGTTCGCCAACTCGATGCTGACAACGAGGAACTACGTGCACACAAGAAGCTGGAGACACAGGAAGCCTCCAGCAGCAAGGATGGACATCGTGAACGAGCAGTAGTGAAACGCGCTGAGGGAGGAACCCAGGCTAATTCAAATAGGGTAGACAAGAAGGTGGCTGGGTCAGTCCCGTCATCGTCTTCAAATCAGATCCCTAATTCGTCGCTGATGCCAGGTTCGATCCTCTTTCCGTCTTTCGGTGACCCAATGATCGATGTACACCTATCCCAGATGCAAGGAGTTGTCGGACATGTCCCACAATCCACTACTGCGACTGGTGGCGGCGATGGAGGGGGAAACAACGGTACTACGCCCCCATTGGATTACGGTGGATTCCCGCCCAATAGGAATGGGCAGGGAGCGGGTCGACGTCAGTTGAGCCTCGCTGGTGGCGGAGGAGGACCTCCGGATGATCCACCCGATGATGAGGATGAGGATGACGACGACGAAGGAGATGAGGAAGACGAGGAAGAAGAAGAGGAAGAAGACGATCGGACACGGAGGAGACGAAGGAGATCGAGAGATAACCGAGAGATCAAGAATGATCGACCGAGAATCTCGAGGAAAGAGGCCGAGAGAGTATCTATTCCGGCCTGGCCAAAGATCCATCAACTTGACACCTGGAAGATGCAACTGCTGATGAATGTTCTGAGCGCATGTGCAGATCCAGATACCGACGCATGGACGAAATGGCTGGAGCAGGCTCTTGGGTTGAACCCAGACCTGGATTTGCTTAGCGATTCAGGTGGCGACAGATTTGCTACGATAGATATTAAGATGGCCATGGGCATGCAGAACATGCTGAAACAAGCACCTGACGAAGCCAAGGACGTATACCTCGATGCTACACGACACTCTGAACTACGACATCAACAAGGGGTGATCGTGAAGGGACGAGAGTTGGTGGCATTAGTTATGCAATCATTCAGAACTTCCGATAGAACGGATCTTGTCTACCACATCGAGCATCTATTCAACCTTGACTTTCCTGGCGACAAGAACTTGGTCATGTTCAGGAACAAATGGTATGATTTGCTGCTGAAGATGAGGAGCGAGGACAGACCCAGTAAGCTGGCTCTCAGAGACATCCTTTACAGGAAGATCAAAGGGAGCAAGAAGATGGAGTTCGGCCTCAATGCCTACCATAGACTACCGGACAAGCATCCTCAGAAGACGTATGAATTCTTATTGGCGTTGATCGACTATCAGATCAAGGCAGATCGGGAAGACCTGATGCTCGACATGAAGGAGAGATCGGTCAAGTCGATGATGAAGTCAGGCGGGAAGGATGCGGCTCCAGCAACTGGCAAACAGGAGAACCAGGGTGGCAAGGGCAGAAAGGGGAAACCCGGCGGACCTGATGCTGCTCCTGTACTCCCAAAAGCCAAGGCAAAGGGCCACGCTGGCAAGAACGGCAAGTCCGACGGTGCCAGCGACAGAGGCAAGAGTCCGGGCGGAGGCAAGGATAACCCCTGCTGGTACCACTTCAAATCAGCGAAGGGGTGCGTGAAAGGGAATGAATGCACGTTTTCCCATAGCAAGAAGACGGAGCATAAGTTGGAGAACATGCCCAAGGGGAAAGGAAAGGGCAAATCCAAGTCCAGATCATCGTCTCCAAAGAGGGATGATGGAGCATGCTTCGCATTCCAGAAGGGAAAGTGCGATAGAGGAAGCGCTTGCAAGTATAGGCATGAGCTCATCAAGAACAATTCAGCTCCGGCAACGTCAAGCGACAAGGCACAAGCCAAGTCGAAGGCTGCCGCCAAGGCCGCAGCGCCAGCTATTGCGAGGAGGAGCATCGCGATGCCCGCGATAGTCCTGAAGCAATCGGCTCCTGCGGGGAAGGTAAGCTTCAAGAAGGACGTTGACCAGGTCGAACCGGACGAAGCTGAGACTGTCTACCACGAGCACGATGACGACGCGATGAGCGAATCATCGAGATGGTCTGGCGAGTCCGAGATCCCCGAGAAAATGGTGTGGTTCAAGGAAGTGCTCGACGTCGACGAGAATGGGGAGATCACCTACCTCGAAGACGAGAGAAGGCAATGGGAACGAAAAGGGGAATGGTACGGTTATGAGGACAATGAGAATGAGCCTTATCAGTACGTGTACGTCGACGAGAAGAAGTTCAAAAGCAGTGATCATCGTGAATTTATCAGCCTATCAAGTCCAACGATCATTGATACGTGCGAAGATACTGAGAGAAGTGGTGGATGATATATATAAGAAGCACTACTTCCCGGTGACCAAGGAGAGCAGCATAATGTTCGAGTATGATCGGAACAAGGACGAGATCAAGGAATCGGCTGTCGACTGGAAGAAGCAGCATGGTATGCCGAAGAACGTTTTCGCCATGTCAACGTGCATCAGCAAACGGGTGAAATGGTTGATGGACACCGGATGTGGTCATGATCTCATTGGAAGAGCCAAGGCGAAGAGCCTGGGTGTCGACATCGTGAAAGATGACGACGAGATCGTGTTCCAGACCGCGAATGGTTCCACTTCCACATCTGATGTGGCCAAGATAGTCGTGGACGAGTTGGACGAGACTGTCGAGCCGCATGTATTGGATGAGACACCCACGGTATTGTCAGTGGGGAGGAGATGCATGAAGATGGGTTATGCATTTCACTGGATGCCTGGTAAACTACCTTTCATGGTTACGCCAAAGCAGGGATTCGTGCACTTGCAGGTCAAGGACGACATCCCGTACCTAGTGAGTGATGGTAAGCTTCGGAGTAACAGGCATCGCCCTACGATAGACGACCTCAAGGAGCACTTTTCGGAAGTATTGGCGATGGTAACGAACGACGAGGCAGATCAGGGAGGTGACGATGAGAACGACGTCACACCCGCCGCTGTCGGTGAGTCCGCAGAGGCCGAGGGCGAACACCACGACGGGGCATTCGACTTCGGGCCACCCGGAGGAGCCGGTCCGGTACGTCCGCCTCCCGTGGCTGAGGAAATACCTGTAGATGTTGGGTCAGTCCCGCATCGACATGGTGATGCCGAAGCTCACGAGGAAGAGGTTGATGAAGATGATCCAGATGCCGGAATCGAAGTAGACGTGTACGAAGGATCATCAATAAAGAGGAAAGTGGGAGTCCTCAAGAAGGACGCCAACTCCATAGCTCATTTGCTTACACACAGATACCGAAATCCCTTCTGCGAATCATGCGTCAAGGCAAAGATGAGACACTTCAGATCGCGAACGGGAGCATTCAAAAGAGAAGTGAAGACGTTCGGTGACCTGGTGACGTTCGACTTCGTGACGGCATCAGGAGATCATGAAGTGGAAGGCAGGTATGCGCTCATCATCCGGATTTATATACCGGAATTATCATGGCTTATCCCACCGCGAGAAGAGACACTGACTCCGTCGTCAGGGCTATCAAGCACTTCTGCGGGAGGAGGAAAATCAAGCAGGTATATTCGGATGATGGCCCGGAACTGATCAATGCGTGCGTGGAGCTGAAGCTGAACCACGACCTATCGCTGCCTGGACGGCCGCAGAACAATTCCCTTGCTGAAAGAACAAATCAATTCATCATTGACCAGACTTCGGCTTGTCTAGTACATGCCGGTCTACCCACGTGTTATTGGGTGCAGGCCATCACCACTCTGTGCCATCTCATGAACATCGAAGAGGTGAACGGATCGAGTGCATGGATGAGGCTGCATGGCGAGGAGTTCAAGGGCGAGAAGATACCTTTTGGTGCGCTAGTGGACTTCAAGCCGAGTGAAGCACGGGGGGGGAAGAGGGAGAAGTTCGAACCAAGAGGGGAAACCGGTATATTTGCTGGATACGTGTTGAGCACCGGTATGCATTGGGCAAACAAGTATCGTGCTTGGGCACTTACTGCATTTGCGGGCGCAGAGCTGAACATCAAGAAGGCAAAGGTTCCACCTCGGTTGAGAATGCCACATCAGACGGAGAGGATGATTCTGAAATCTCCTCTGACATTCCCAATACAACAGAAGTACAAGGTTGCCAACGAGACTTTGGAAGGAATAGAGATGTCTATCGATGCAATCGGTCTGGATGCGCGTGACCGCCTGATCGAAGATGAGGACTACGAGCCTGAATTGCTGCAGAGTGACGAGAAGCGACTGCTTGACGATGAAGTCGATCAGATCGCTGGTCTACTGCTCGACGATGGCCCGGAAGTAATCGCCGGAGATCGGGGGGATCATGCAGGAGAAGAAGATGCTAGACCGAGCTCTTCAAAAGGGAAAGGAGATGGACACTCCAAGGGCGATGAGAAGGTTGCGAAATCCGACCTTCCACACGTGTCAGTTGGACTACCTGGGGATGGCATCACGTACGTCAACGACGATGGCAAGGAGGTTAAAATCGACAAGGCCGGAAGACCGTATCCTGTCGGGAAGGATGGATTCAGGCTAATGAAGACGTCGAGACCTCCGGAGTTCACTCCTGAAGAATGGAAGATGATGAGTAAATATTACACCAAAGAAGAGAAGGCCGAGGTGAAGGGCGGTGGCAAAAAGAAAGAAGAAGATCCCAAGGGTAAAGAGTCTGAGATTTCCGCGCCGGCAGAGGCACGGACATTACAGATGCCCGGTGGTAAGAGAATTCGAGCGATGCTTCGGAACCGCTGGGGTGGAG